ATATAACATTAACATTAATATTAAAAAAATATTAATATGAAAAGTTCAAATTTGATATCAAAAAACGGTCTTTATTCATTCTTTGGCTTTATTAAACTAGGTTTTTTGGAAGCATAAGAGCAAAATCAAAGGCGGTGGATATTTTTTACTACGTTGACTGCAATTCTTAAAAATTTCTCCCGACCAACTAATTGATTGATTTTAAAAAAAAACCCACAATTCCTTTTTCCTTCTTTTCCCTATCATAATTATCATTATTATTTTATATATTTCAACTTGCTTGTAAACATGTGCACTACAGAAGTAATCAGTTATATTATAATCATTTTTTCTTGGCGAATTCTATTGAACTATATTTCAAACTGAAGGATTAATGTCAAACACACCTAATGATTCTTTCTTACTTAAAAATCTTTCGGCCGAAATTAAAATTCAAAGATTACCCACCAAGTTACTTTCACTAAAATTATTTATTAGTCGTTGGCAATAAAATGGAATAATTAACTATTTTTACAAAAATATCAAATCGTAATAAGTAATTTAATATTTTTAGATACAGTAACCAGTTTGATAATTAAAATTGATCCAGACTATTAGATGCATATTATTGATGGAAAATCCATCTATTTTTGAAACAATAGTCAAATTCTAAATTAATTCATCATTTTATATAGAAGAAAAGAGTGGATATTGACTTCGATGCGCATAACAAAAACATCCAATACCACGTTAGATAACAAAGTTTCAACAACATCTTCTATCAAAATTAATCTTTCGGTTGCAAAAATTGCTCAACAAACGATAGGCAATAAATAGTAATTTAACCAAGAAAATAAAAGAAACAATTACTTTAGAATCAAGAAATATCAAAATTCAAAAATTGGTACAATTAGCAATATCATGTTGAATCATTATCTCCAAATTTTGTTTTTATCGATTTAAAAATTACGTTTATTTGCTAAAAAAAAAAAAAAAATTTCACTATATGCGTATTACAAATAAACAAAATAATATAATTATAATTAACAAGTCATAGTTATGCATGAATGAATGATTACAATCGTAAAGAAAATTTACTATTATTATAAATTTTTTGATCTGGTTTTATTATTATTATTATTATTATTATTATTATTATTATTATTATTATTATTATTATTATTATTATTATTAAATTCGCTTACCCGAAACAAACCGATTTTCGAATAGTAGTAGTAATATACTGAGCAATGAATTTTGGTCTAGCCAGCAGCATGGCGAGAGTTTCTCAATAATGATTGATCGACGAACTTTGAATAGACAATTCTGATTGGCTAATTTGAATTTCAATTTCCAATTCAATTCAATACAAGAGAAACTTTTATTAAAAGAAATCTTCTTTTTGATGAATTGACAGTAATAAATATTTAGCAATACATCCATCTAACATATTGTATTATATAAAATAGCTCCGTAATATATCAAAAATGTTGACTTTTAAGTTCTATAATATTATCAGGTTTCCTGTTCCTTTTATATACTGTTAAGTTTTTTTCCATATTTAAATTCCATACATGTTATTGAAATTTATATACTAAACTCTTTAATTATAAAAGTTCATTCATAATATTACTATTGGAATACGTTGATCAGGGAGCAGAATGTGAAATAGAAAGTTTTGAAATTTACATATTTTTAATTTAAAATTATAAATAGTCGTGTATGAGGAAATTTAGAAATTTTGCCATTATTACCATGATGAAACCGGTCCGACCTCTATTTTGAATCTAAATAAAATCATAAAGATTATTAATGATAACAATACCGTGTGCAAAGACTGAAGGATTGATTATTTATTTATTTTTATTTTTATTTTTTTTATTTATTTAATTTTTTTTTAGTACAATGAAGATCGTTTGTAATCAAAAGTTGTTTATAATAGCCGTTGAATTCCTAAAGCAAAAATTTTTATAACATTTCAAGAATGTTTCCCGGTAAGTTTTATAGTTTATGACTCTAGCTTCAAAACTTAATGACTGGATTTTCTTGGACTCGAAATTGGTCGAACCTTAGCATTTTGAAATTTTAAAATTTTACTGAAAAAAATTGAAACTAATTAAGTTTGGTGTAACAAGAGTTTTATGATCTTAATTATTAAAGATGTTCTCGATCGTAACCCTTCATAATGAATTAATATAATATAAAATTTTAAGTGAGTTTGTAAAGAATTGGTGATTGATTAGTTCATAAAAGGCAAAAAGTATTTATTTTCAATAGAAAATAAATTCAGTCCATAAAAAGGCATATAAATTTTCAATAATAGGAATACAAAAAAGGAATTTAACTATCAAAAATTTAAAGCGAATAAAGCTTGCATAAAACTGGTATTGATTCACAATTACCGATTTTGAAGCTCCTTGTGTTAAAGCCACCATATTTCTTTGGACACAGCCTGTTTATTTACTCGTTTAAATCCTAAAATTCTGCAACTCCAAATCGCTATATATTCTCGCCAAAAAAGATGAAGTTTACTTCAAGTAGATATACAGAACATATTCTACACAATTCTTATTCAATTCACAATGTCTACTAGTGTGACGGAAGATTACAGCAAGATCAAATCGTTTGCAATTTTTCCACCTATTGGTATTGCACGTGTTGGCAATTCCACAGATTATTATGTCGGAGCAGAGATTTCTGGAGTGTATGTTGGAGGTAAACTGTTGAATTTGTAATTATAGCGGCATTTAGATATGTATATTAATTAATGTTACCAATATTGCCTCCTTTTCATTCTAATACATGTAAAACTTTTGTCACTACAGAGGGTGACACTTTCTTCAAATTTAAGGATGAAAATAATCGTGTAAGACCACAAGCTGCAAGATTCAGAATATATGGTTACGACGAAAATGGTGTCGTGCGGGAGATCAAGCTTACTGATGAAAATGAAAATGTGAAAGTAAAAAT